AGATTGCAAAATGATTACCACAAAAACTTTAGTTAACATCCTTTACCTCACAGTGTTAGAGATTTGTTTTTTCTTATGATGAGAACTTTTAAGATCTACTCTTTCAGCAACTTTCAAATATGAAGTACAGCATTGTTAACTGTAGTTACTATGCTGTGCATTCCATCCCTAGGACTCCCTCATAACCGTAAGTTGGACCTTTTGACTACCTTCACCTATTTCCCCTGCCGTCCTACTCTTGCCTCTGGCAACCACCAGTCTGTTCTCTGTTTCTGTGTTTTGCTTTTTCAGATTTCCCATATATATGAGATCATACAGCATTTGTCTTTCTCTCTCTCTCTGACTTATTTCACTTAGCGTAATGCTCTCAAGGCCCGTTCATGTTGTCAACAAATAGCAAGATTTTCTTCTTTTTTAGTTGATGGACATAGATTGTTTCCATGTCTTGGGTATTGTAAATAATGCTGCAGGGATCATGAGGGTGCAGATATCTCTTGGAGACAGTGATTTTATTTTTTATTTCCTTCAGACACATACCTAGAAGTGGAATTGCCGGGTCATAAGGTAGTTCTATTTTTAATTTTTCAGAACCTCCATACTATTCCATAGTAGCTGTACCAGTTTACGTTTCCATGAACAGTGTGCGAGGGTTCCCTTTGCATCTTTCTAACACTTGTTTATCTCATCTTTTTGATGGCAGTCATTCTGTAAGCTGCGGATGTTGTATCATTGTGGCTTTGATTTGCATCTCTGTGATGATTAGTGATGCTGATCACCTCATGTACCTGTTTGACATTTTCTATTTTTTGTAAAAATGTCTAGTCAGATCCTCCACTCATTTGGAAATCAGATCTACTTATCTATGTATCTAGCTATGCTGTACTATTGAATTTTATGAGTTCTTATTTTGGCAATAACCTCTTATCAGATATATGATTTGCAGATATCTTCTCTCTATTTCATAGGTTAATTTTTTTCATTTTTTTTATAGTTTTCCTTACTGTGTAGAAATTTTTTAAAGTTTGATGTAGTCCCAGCTGTTTAAATTTGTTTTCTTGCCTTTGCTTTTGGTTTCAAATTTAAAAAGTTACTGCAAAGACTGATGTCAAGGAGCTTACCCCCTGTATTTTCTTCTAGGAGTTTTATGGTTTCTGGTCTTTATCAAGGCTTTAATCCATTTTGAGTTGATTTTTTTGTGTGGTTTAAGAGAAGGGTCCAGTTTCATTCCTTTGCATGTGGCTGTCCCAATTTCCCAGTACCATTTATTGAGGAGACTATCTTTTATTTGTTTTATGTTTTTGTCTCCTTTGTTATATGTTAATTGACCATATATGCATGGATTTATTTCTGGGTTCTCTCTTATGTTCCACTGATGTATGTATCTGTTTTTTAATCTAATGCCATGCTATTTTGATTATATTTTAGCTTTGTAATATAATTTGAATTTAAGAAGTATGATGCTTTGTCCTTTCCCAAGATTGCTTTGGCTATTTGGAGTCTTTGTGGTTCCATATAAATTTTAGGATAGTTCCATTTTTGTGAAAAATGCCTTTGGAATTTTGATAGAGATTTCATTGTATCTGTAGAGCTTTGAATAGTATGGGCATTTTAACAAAATGAATTCTTCCAATCCATGAATGTGGGATATCCTTCTATTTATTGGTGTTTTTAATTTCTTTCATCAATGTTCTACAGTTTTCAGTGTATAGGTCTTTAACTTCCTAGTCCAATTTATTTCTAGGTATTTTATTCTTTTTTTTTTGATGCAATTGTAAATGGAATTGTTTTCTTTCTCTTTCTGATAGTTTATTAGTGTATAGAGGGGCAACAGATTTTTGTATATTGATTTTGTATCCTCCAGCGTTACCAAATTTGTTGATTAGTTCTAACAGTTTTAGAGTTTTCTTTATGTAATAATCATATCATATGCACTTTTCCTTCTTTGTTTCTGATTTGGATGCCCTTCATTTCTTCTTCTTGCCAAATTGCTCTGGCCATGACTGCCAGTACTATGTTGGGAAAAAGTGGTGAGAGCATACAGCCTTGTGCTATATCTGATTTAAGAAGAAAAACTCTGAGCTTTACACCGTTGAGTATGATATTTGCTATGCATTTGTGATACGGCTTTTATCATGTTGAAGTATGTTCCCTCTGTACTGAATTTGTTGAGAGTTTTTGTCATGAATGGGTATTGAATTTTATCAAATGGTTTTTCTACATCTTTGGAAATGTCATATGATTTTTATCCTTCATTTTGTTTCACATTTATGGTGTTTCACATTGACTGATTTGTGAATGTTGTACAGTCCTTTCATCCCTGGAATAAATCCTACTTGTTCATGATATGTGATCCTTGAATGTTTTGTTGAATTTGACTTGCTAATATTTTGCTGAAGACTTTGGTCAATCTGTGTTCATCAGGGAAATCGGCTTGTAATTTTCTTCTAGTGTCCTGTCTACATGTGGTATCAGGATAATGCTTGCCTCATAAAATGAGTTTGGAAGCATTTCCTCTTCTATTCTTGGGAAAAGTTTGAGAAGAACTGGTATTCTTTAGATGTTTGGTATATTTCAGTGAAGCTGTTGGTCCTGGGCTTTTTTCTTTGTTGGAAGGTTTTTGATTAGTGATTCAATCTCATTGTTAATAATTGGTCTTTCCAGATTTTCTTTCTTCCATTCAGTCTTGGTAGTTTATATGTTTGTAGGATTTATCTTTTTCTTCTACATTGTCCATTTTGTCAGGGTATAACTGTTGATAGTAGTCTCATGATCCTTTGTATTTCTGTGGTATCTTTGTAAAGTCTTTTTTTCTTTAATTTCTGTTTTGAGTCCTCTCTGCTTTTTTCTTATGAGTCCAGGTAATGGTTTGTCTGTTTTGTTTATCTTTTAAAAAAAACACAGCTCTTAGTTTCATTAATACAAAAAAAGATAATCTTTTATTGTCTTTTTAGTCTCTGTTTCATTTATTTTACTCTGGATCTTTGTTATTTCCTTCCTTCAGCTAACTTGTTTTAGTTTAGCCTTCTTTTTTCTACTTCCCTGCGACATAGATAAAGTTGTTTATTTGAGTTCTTTCTTTTTTCTTAATGTAGGCATTTATTACTATAAACTTACTATAAACTTTCATCTTAGAACTCCCTTAGCTGCATCCCATAAATTTGTTGTTATATTTCCAGTTTCATTTCCATTTGTCTCAGGATGTTTTTTCTCTTTTGATTTTGTCTTTGACTCAAGACTTTTTTTTTACTCACAGAAGAATATTTTATATGCATATTCAGCAATTGAGAGTGTGTTTTAACATGCTTGGTGATCTGTTATTTAATCTCAAAAGATTAGATGTGTAAGTAATTGTCAAGGGATAGCTAGACTGGAACAATGGCAGAACAAGGGTTCACAGCTGATAGCAAGGGGGGCAGTGCTAAAAAACAGACAGAGGAACTTAAATGGAAAGCATTGGAGGACCCTTTAAGGGTGACAAATCTCTTCAGACCTTAAGAATTTCTTTGCACTTAATTTATACTCAGATTAATACTATTGAGTCATTCAAGAAACATTAAATTAGGTGATTTATACTATATTTCTAGAAGTGGGAAATATGTAATATATTTTCATAAACATGCTTTATCTTTATGATAATAACTAAAGACTAGTTATTTTTGAACACTTTCAATGCTAACTCTCTGCTAGGTTATGCTAATCCTTTTACTTGCATTATCTAATTTATTCTTAAAATAATCCTGGGAGGTAGTTTAGAATGTTCATTTTACTTATGAGAGAATTTTCGCTCACAGTTTAAGTGAGCAGGACAGAGTTTTGCAGCTAATGAATGGTGGAATCAGGATGTTGAACCTATGTCTGACTATCTCTAAAAGTACCTGCTTTTATAGCCAGTACAATGTGGTTCATCCATACACATAAATTACTTTGAGGTTTGCAACAACCACTCTGTACTTTAAGTCAGCTGCTACTATCCCAGTTTGAGGCCCAAAAAAGTAACTTAGGTAAAATAATATAGCTATTAATTAGCAATACCAGAATTTTGTTGTTGTTAAGTGTTAATTTTGTTTCCTTGCCTGGAAAATGTACTAGTGAGAAACATTTCCAATACTGGATAAATTAGTTTTTATTGAAATAATTTTAAGTTGATTTAACTTTCTTAATTTTTGTCTATAGCAAGGGCATCTCCCATACATTTCTCATAAGTTAAATAAACTACAGGTTATGAAGAGTTTTGAGATGCTCTGTTGAAATATAATAATTAATAAAAACTAACTGTTTTGGAACCCTTGCTACATTCCAGGCACTGTTCTAACACTTTGATGGTTTTAATTAATTTAATCCCTACAGTCTCTCTATGAGGAATATATTGTTCCTAGCCTTGGTTTACAATGAGGAGACGGAAGTACAGAGAGGTTAAGAATTTGACCAAGTTTACCCCATCCTAAGTAGCAATGGAAATGAAATCTGACTGTCTAGTATCTCTGGAGTTTGGATACCTGTCTGTAACACTATTTAAGCTGCTTTCCCCCGGGTAACTTGAGGCATATGTTTTCAAATTCAGTCTAGTCTAGAGAAAATGCCCCTCTTAACTTGTATGCTGTTTTATTTATTTATTTTAGTGAGAGAGAGGGAGAGAGAATCTTAAGCAGATTCCAGGCAAAGCCTAGAGACCAACTCGGGGCTCGGTGATCCTGGGATCACAACCTGAGCTGAAACCAAGAGTGGGTTATTTAACCAACTGCCCCACCCAGGCACCCCATTGTGTTTTATTTTTTAAATTGATTGAAAAAAGAGACTTACATTACAAAGGAAGAAAAATACATGCATTAGTCAACAGTTTATTTTGATGGTTAGTAGACTTAAGTGACAAGCTGTAATTTCATATTTATCCACAAGATGGTGAAATTCTCATTAGTTTTTAATTCCTTGAAACCCATATAAATTGTTAATTTATAATCTCCATTTGACACTATTATAAGCACTTTAATTTCTTTTTACAGCCCATCTGCTGGCAAGGCCAAGATTAGAACAGCTCATAGAAGAATTATGATTTTGAATCACCCAGATAAAGGTAAGTAAAATTCCTATTATTCATAAAATGTGCATCTGAATCTGCTCTGAATTCCTTTCAGTTTACTTAAACTCATTGTAAGTGATACATATAAGTGATATATATATATACATATATATATATATAAACATATGTATATATATATCGTTGAAATGGAAGTTTATATGCCACATGTATTGTGATTTTCTTATAAATAAATAAGCCTTGGGATTGAAGTTAAGTAGCCTACAGAAGTGGTAGATTCATATTAGTGCTTTCAAGAACTTAGTTACTGATTTTTATATATGTGTACCTAGCCTCTGTGTGAGGCTCCTAGCATTTTGACTGGGAAAGAGAAAACATGAGTTGTGAACTCTTATGTAAACTGATATGGGCATCGTGAATTATGTTTGTTTAACCTTAAACATAAAAGCATAAGATTTAGAGGATATCTTCTAAATCTCTGTACTATGTCATAGATAATTCTAAATTTCTTAATTTTATTCTGGAAGGCTCTGAGGCTGAGCCGTTTGTTTTTAACTGGCCAGGTTTTTAATGTAAATTTATCTTACAGAAAGACAATTATTATAACTTTAACTACACTACAGCTGCTTGAGAGGGAAAGCCCATATGTTCATTACTGTTTCTTCTCTAAAATAACAGATGGTAGAAAGTTGCACTGTATTTCAGAAGTCAAGGGTGCGGTAAGGGGAAGAGAGTAAAGGGTTTTTTGGGTTCTTATTTACAGACTTTCAGTTTTCTAATTTTTTTGAAAAAAATTAAAAACAAATTTTAGATTTTTGCACATCATAACTGACACCAAAGTAGGACATTCTTTTTCAGTTTTCTCAATTATGTACTATAAAAATTCTTTTCACTAAACATCATCTTTGGCTTTTTATTTGCTGTTCTTTAGTATGAATAAATAAGAGATTAAACTTTGAAAAGAGATTTTGCTTAACATTTCTAAATAGCCTCAACAGTTACTGAAAGATCCACTCAACTAATTTACTTCGCATTGTGGGCTTTCAGAGTGATTGACTCAGAAAGAAATGTGTTTAAAGTGCCTGCTTGAAGCCCTCTGTCTCCTACTAAACATCCTTTGTCCTTTCCAGGTCAAGTGTATGCCCTTCTCTGATTGATTGCAGTAGGATCAGGCACTCATGTCTTTCAGATGATTGACAAGTTGTTGATGTTGTTGATTGTGCCTACTGGGATGGAAGCAAGTTCTAAAATGTATCTAAGAGAAATTGTACTTTTAGATACCTTTAATAAAGAAAGAAAATGTGTGTCCTGTGAGCCAGTAGTATTTACAGAATTACTTGATTTACTCTGAGGTTATATATTTATCAGAAGTGGGATTGATTGCCTGTAGGGTGCTTATTGTTACCCGTTCTGGCCCTGTATAGGTAGCAGGATGTAAGGGAATGAGCCTGGAAGCCAGAGGCTGTTGTTTTTCTCTGGCTTCTGCCTTCTAACTACCAGTATGACCATGCATACTCCCTTAACCTCTCCAAATGTCAATTTTATTTTATACAAAATGAAGAGATTTATTTCTAAAGTCCTTTTTGTTAAGTAATATAGTATCTTTATATGCCTATTCAATTAATGAAGAACCTGTATCCTATATTTCTATTCAGATCACATTTTTCACTCCAGGAAGATGCTTTTAATCATTTTGGATTATTGTACCCTCTAGGAATGTATTAACAACTGGACATTTTGCTCATGTAATTGGTCATTCACCCACAATTTTAAAAACATTTGGAGTTTCAGAGCTCATAGATTCCCAACACCCACGCATAAGCTCACAGTTAAGAACTCCTGCTCTAGTAAAAAGTAGGGTAAATTAAGGAATATTGGCATTACTGGAGGGAAGGTATTCATGGATTGATGGAGTTGGGAGATGATAATGCATAAATCCTGAAATGGTCTCTGGAGAAGGAAGGTGGTTTGTTTTGTTTTCTTTTCAGTGAGAAGTTACCAGGTTTTAAGCAAGAATGTCTCATTGTCCTTGGATAGAGAAAACTAGAAGTATTTGGGGAAATATGAGAATAGGCAACTTTTAATTTTGTCTACTCTTTTTCCAAATTCCTTATCGTATTTGCTTTGGCCAGGTCAGCACTGACCGAGTATTATATAGGTAGTTTCAAAAACTTAAATCCCCTACTCCATGCTTCTGAAATTCATGAATGTACCCCCACTTCATCCCCAAGTCAGTTTTCTTCTGGTTTTGCTGCCAGCGAGTAAAACAAAGTTAGAACTTCAAATGTGTGATCAACTATAATTTATCACACATTTCATTATCAGTTTTTGCAAAGAAGGTAACACGAGAAAATTAGGTGTGGGGATGGCTAAAAATAAATTTTTTGTAACTAGTTTTAAATGAGCATTCACATGTGTTTTCGTAAAAAGTATATTTTGCTATTCAGTTTAGTGAGATAAAATCTCAGTTGATCCAATGCTTTCAGGTTAATATCTTTTAGGTTATGCTTTTTTAAATTGCTGAAGAAAGAGGTTAATTGTTAGGAAATAAGCAGTTCACATTATACTTAATATAAAGGAAGACAGACTAGGTAAATTTGAAAAGCTGTAGAACCTCAGTGATCTCTTATAAACTCTCTAATTCAGTGCTACTCAAAAGTATAGTTTGCTTGTTCACATGGGCCAATTTGTTACTGGTATGCAATGAGTTAAGAACAGAAGTCAAAAGAAACCCTTATGGCAGTTTGACATTGTAGTAACATCCAAATGTGTGATACTTTTGTAATTTGTAATGTATTAGTTTACCACAGAATGGAAATTTCTTTACAAGTGCATCTTCACCATAGTTTGAGAGACACTGATGTGAACAGTGCTGCCTACTAAGTCAAGACTGTTTCTGCTGTATCCTGGGGACAATGTCCGATTAGTTCTCCTTAAAGATTTTTAGTGGTGGAGAGCTTCCTGCTTTATAGGAAGCCTATAGGTAGGCAGCTCTAAGTACTAGAAAGTTCTTCCTTATATTTAACTGAAATCTGCCTGCCTATAGCAGAGATTCTCATTCCTTTTTCATTTATGCCCCCTTTCAATAAACATACAGTACTGTCACTCTTCTTTAATAGTATTTAAATAGGGCACCTGGATGGCTCAGTCAGTTAAGGGTCCTGGGATCGAGTTTCACATTGGGCTCCCTGCTCAGCAGGGAGTCTGCTTCTCCCTCTCCCTCTCCACTGCTTGTGTTCTCTCTTCTTTCTCATGCGCTCTCTCATATAAATAAATAAAATCTTCAAAAAATAGGATTTAAATAAAAATTAAATATTGGGACTAAAAATAAATCAAAGTGAAGGGATTTTCACTAATTACTCTCATTGTAGAAGAAGCTAAATTTGACAGAAAGTCCTGGTAATAATATATTACGATTTATTATGATATAGTACATTTAAAAGGTGTATTGTAAACATTTACAAAAAGAAAGACACGATCGCCAAGAGTCAAAATGAATTCACTAAGAAAAAGTCATGCCTAATTAGCTTGGTTTCCTTTTTTGATAGCTGTAACTAGACTATTAACTTCTTTCAAAGGTCTCATCTTTTCTTCCCCTTATTTTAACATTTTAATTAGACTTAAGGTTTTGTATTTAATAACTTTTTTGGTAAAAGTATAATTTTGTTTTATCCATATTCATTTTCTTTGATAAATGGTGTGATCTTTAAAAGGTAAAGAACATGGCTTATTCATTTTTATAATCTCTATTGCTGACACTTAAACTCTTAATTTTTTTCATGAATGAATGAGTAAGCAAGTGAATAAAAAGATGGTATACGAAGAAAATGTACAGGTAAAATAGAATTGAGATTGATAACTAATACATAATGATCATATGAAAAATTTTAAAGATTTATTACACTGATATGAAACAACCTATAATTATTCTTTCATTCTTTCAGAAAGTATTTACTCAACTTCTCTAATGTGCCAGATATTGTGGTAAACCTTGGGGCTTTAACTGTAAAACAGGACAACTACATTCTTGTCTTCATAGAGCATGTATGCTGATGGAGGGACAGACAAAAAACAAGTAAACCTATTTCACATTGTAGTAAAGGGTACAGCAGGCAGAGATATAGAATATGAGAAAGAGGCAGCTTAACATAAAGTGACTGGGAAGACCTCTATGAGGAGAGACTTAAAGGATGGAAAGAAGCTATCTCTGTGAAGAATGGTTGGAAGGTCGGGAAACTAGCATATGCAAAGGCTCTAAGGGAAGAAAGAAAATAATGAGCTTAAGGACTTGAAAGAAAACTAGCTTGCTAGAGATATAATATGTAAGGGGAGAGATAGCCTGAAATGAGGTGGTGTTCACATTTTGAAAACTGCAGGTATGCTTTCTGATAATGAAACACACATATGTGCTGTGTAATACTTGAACTTGATTCTAAAAACAGTGGGAAGTTTCCGTTAGCTTTTAAGCAGTAGAGTGATGTAATTTAATTTACTTTTTAAGAAATCACTTTTCTCCTCAATCTTTCCTTACTTCTTTTTATTTTTAAATATACTTCATATTGAAGTATATAGTCAGAAAAGTGGACAAATCATTAAGTATATATCTACGTAAATTTTTACAAACACCTGTATAACCAGCCTCCAGGTCAAGAACTAGGACATCATCACACCTCTGAATCCCCTTCATGAGCCCTCCCAGTCTGCTTCATCCCTAGAACAAACATTGTCTTGATTTATAATATCATAAGTTAGTTTTGCCTCTTTTGAATGTGTGTAGTCATTTGCATCTGGCTGCTTTCAGTCAATATTTATCCTTGTGAGAATCATCCATATTGTAATGTGGAGCAGGAATGTGTTCATTCTCATTGATATATAGCAGCCTTAGCAAAGTAATTCTAATCTTTTGGTACCAGTTGAGACCTGATTTGTGACCCATTATGTGATCTATTCTGGAAAATGTTCCATGTGCATTTGAGGAGAATGTGTATCCTATTGCTTTAGGATGGAATATTCCGAATATATCTGTGATGTCCGTC